TCCACCAATAGACGAGAGAACTTATGTTTGAGTGTGTGCACGTGTGTATGTGAGAGTATGTGTGTGTGTGTGTGTGTGTGTGTGTGTGTGTGTGTGTGTGTGTGTGTGTGTGTGAGAGAGAGAGAGAGAGAGAGAGAGAGAGAGAGAGAGAGAGAGAGAGAGAGAGAGAGAGAGAGAGAGAGAGAGAGAGAGAGAGAGAGAGAGAGAGAGAGAGAGAGAGAGAGAGAGAGAGAGAGAGAGAGAGAGAGAGAGAGCATGCAGCATGTCAGTGACGGGGAGTACAAGGGCAGACACTGACCTAAAAAAAAAAAAAAAAATTAGTGTTGTATTGGAATACAAGAGCTTGTTCTTTTCGAAATTCGAATAGAAAATACCTGTATTCAAATACAATGTTTCTAATCAAAGTTTTTTTTTTTTTTTTTTTAACACAACTGAAGTCATTAGGAATGGTGATAAGAGCAGTCATTCCTAACCACCCAGTTGAGACTCCAGTCTATTGATGTGGAGTATCACCTGCTGAAAACCGGGTTCAGCGTCCCTTATACAGAAAAATGTCCAGTGTTACAGCTTGATAAGACTCAAAAGGATCAAAACCACCTCTTCAGTCCTAATCAAACCGCCATATAGAACATGCACCTCTAGCAGTTTTAATCCTCCTAATGATGATTAATCATTCTTCATTATCTGACCCCCTCCCACCAAACCATTGGTTTTCTACTAAAGCTAACTCTGAGGGAGGGAACAATTCAAAAAAACATGCAGCATCTCTCAGGAATTCCCCTAGCTGAATATCAAACCAGTCATAAAAATGTAGCAAGCAACTCTTCTTGAGAGGCATCCCAGACTCATTCTCACCAGGCCATACCAAATGTCCAATTCCTTGCTCCTGAGAACCCCCTAGCCAGTCCATTGTGAATTTGAGAATAGATTTTTGGATGTCTTTCTTCTGAGTTAGAGATTTTAATTTAACTTTAAGATTAGCCCATTGAACCCGAATTTATGTTTCCACAAATTGTTTGATATTCTGAGAACATTCCCTCCCTTCCATACTTACCTCCTCCATCGCATATACACACCTCCTTTGCCATATGGCCCATATGATAGCTTTCCTACCGAGGCAACATAGATTTGACTGAAAGGTGGAGAGGGACAGATCACCCAGATTCCATTGTCTTAGTAAAAGGGCTCTCCAATCCCAAGGCCACTCAAGGCCCGTTAGTCTTCGCCAAATACAGGCCCAACGTCGCCACATAGGGATGGACTCTGGACACTGAGTAAAAATGTGTTCAATCGTTTCTCTATATTTACATGAGGGAAATGCCATGTGACAAAAAGTGCTCTTCTATTTGAGAAAAGTGGATCCATGCCGTTTCGATTTCAAAATGTTAAAAACTCATGGACCGCGGCCTCCAACGCAAGGATTGCGGCCTCCTCGGCCTCCTACAGCTAGCTACTACGCCCTCACCTCAAAATTGCCCACCCTCCCGAACGACCACCAACGTTGAAAGTTGAATTGACGTTGAAGGTCTCAAGTGCATAAAACGCAACCCGGACAGACTGCGAACAAGACCACTATTGGCCGCGGTTCTCCAAAAACATTGACTTACCGTGAGGGCACGGGTGCGCAGCCCGTTGTTTGTTTGTTGATGTGGTTGGGGAAGGGTAACGTAGTGATTATGCTGTGTGTATGTTTTGCCATGTTTGCTACACACAACTCAAAGAGTGTATGTGTGGGGTCCTGGTTGGTGCTTTATTCACAATGTTCATGAGATGCTGGACCCAGTTTCCAGCAAGTGCCGCTCCCCACCAATAGACAAGAGAATGTGTGTGTGCGTGTGTGCGTGTGTGCGTGTGTGCACGTGTGTATGTGAGTGTGTGTGTGTGTGTGTGTGTGTG